CCTAGATTTCCTGGGAAGAGGTTTACAAAGCACCTAAAGACTTCTTGTACAGACAGACTTAGGAACAAACCCAAGGGGCCAACACAGGTCGAGGGGCATAGAAGGTGGCTCTCAGAGGACTTTCACCCCTTGGCAAGCAGAGGGTCTCCCCAACTTTTTATGTCTGGGACACCAGCTTGGGGCACAAATCAGGAGTAGAAGGAATGCAGCCAGTCCTGGGAGGGGGCTTTATGTGACTCCATATGGCAAGGTGGCCAAGGCCATATGAACCTTGGGGGGGCCCCCAGAGAGATCTTGGGAGCTTCAAAGTGTTTCCTAAGGGGCTGACACTGGGGCCTAATGTGAATGCAAGCTATATTTAGAAAGCCAGATCCTCAGGACTCTTGGCAATGTGACCATCTTCAGGCCAACAATTCTTGCCTCCAAGAGTGTGGGAAGCAGAAGATGAATCACAGACCACAGTCCGTAGGCTGACCTCAGTGTGCATGTTCCCTGAGATGGGGCATGAAACGAAGACAGGAAGCACTTCACTGAATTGGTTTTCCCATTTTTCATAAGAAACATTCAACTTAATAAAAAATAGCCACACTTTATTGACAATAATAGCTATCCTTTATTTCTTTACCACGTGCCAAGAAACTACTTTAACTTTGTTTCTTCTATAACTCCGCAAGGCAAGAATGATCACTTTTATTCCAGAGGAAAATGAGGCCCAGAAAGGTCATGTAATTAGCCCAAGGTCACACAGCTAGTAAATGTTAGTCGAGAGTCTAACCTGGGTCTGTTTGACTCCAACAGTCATGATTTTTCCACTATGATCTTTTCACATTACCACTGACCTCCAAAGTCCCCAGAACTAACTGTCTAAACATACACACACACACACACACACACACACACACACACACACTTAAAACTTAAATAAGCAGGCCCTGGCTGGGAGCTCAGTTGGTTAGAATGTTGTCCCAATATGCTAAAGTTGCGGGTTCAATCTCTGGTCAGGGCACAGACAAGAATCAACCAATAAATGCATAAATAAGTGGAAAAACAAATAAATGTTTCTCTCTCTCAAGAACAACAAAAATAAATAAATAAATAAATAAATACCCAAATATAAACAAGCGGGAGACCAACATCTCGAATGCTGCCCTGCCATGCACCCATCGCTCTGTGTGTGCCACGATGCTCAAAACCCAGGAGCTGAACCACAGGTGCTGACAACGAGTAGGTTTCTGAAAGAACACACAGTCCATTCCTGTCATTTAGCAAGGTGACAAATCTAGGGTCTCAGGGCTGAGCAGAGGCTGAGCTGGGACTTGGCCCCAGATGTGCTGCCCCTGGGCAATGTCCCTTCCACTGCCCTGTGGCCCTGCTTGCTGGGGCCACAGCAGGGATGAGTCTGGGTGTTGGAAATGCAGAGTTGAAAGGAACATGCCTGGCCCCGAAAGGATCCTAGAAGCTGGTAGGTGTTTTGAAACCATCCATAGATAACTGAAGTGTGTGGCAGAAGGTGGGAAATGGCACAGGAGAACTAAGGCCTATGGGTATTAAGAGGCCTATGCGAATCATATCCTGGGGGGGGGGGGGGGGGGCAAAAGGGAGAAAGACACCATAGGGAGAAGTGGGGAGGAAATGAAGCCATGCTCTGGGTGTATTTGCAGGAAGGTGCCTCATACCAGTCATTTTGTAGCATGAGGCAGAGTACTCATTTTGCAGATAAGATGGAGAGACAGGAGGCGACCTGTCCACACAGTTAATGGGGACTCATGTGAATTGCTTTGTCTGCCTCTGAAGTCCATGTTCTCTCCACTACAACAAACTTCAAATGCTGTTCTACGAAGACCTGGTGGGTTGGGAGGTCAGGAGTAGGCCAATAGGCCAGGAGTAAGTCAGATCAGGAGTGGCTCAAGCACCCACCCCAAGTTCAATCCCAATGGCTCTACTTTGCACATATATTTATAGATAGAGGTTCCACATGAGATTCTATTTGAGAAAGGCTCTGCAGTTAACAAAATCAAGTTCGAAGCCCTGTACTAGGTACGAGGTGCTACCGGGCAGGTGAATGCATTAGGCCTTGGAGTTCGCGCAGAGCAGGGACAACAGGCAGTCTAAGCAGGAAGGCAGCGAGGGACAATGGCTAGCAAGCAGGCAAACTAGGCACTTCCGTGACTCTGGAGAGATGCTGCTTGTGTTCAAAATCAGGCTCTGCTCCTGTCTAGCTTTGAGACCTGGAGCAAGGCATTCCTAAGCTTTATTTTCTTCAAGTTCAAAATGGGATCATACTGGTCTGTCTTCTTAGGGCTGCTGAGAGGATTACGTGCTCAATGACATGGAAAGCATTTAGCACAGTGCTTGGCACTTAGCACAATGACATTCTTATTAACTTGTTGAAAACAGCAAGACTAGGAGGTAAAACAGCAAACAAAGACATACCATGAAACTATAGGAGGAATTCTTAGGGAAACTAAAATCCTCACTGCCTCCAAAGGGTTGCTATGGTCCTGAGCTCTGCCTTGTATTCTCCTGGCATTGATAAATATGGGCTGTGAATCAATGGCGGATACACCTAAAGACGAGGTGTCCTCATTGCTGCTAGTCAGCTGGTTCAGAAAGAAGTTCAATGGAGATCAGTAATCCAAACCCTTAAACTAATTTACTGACACTGCTCAAAGCAGATGCCACAAAAGGCCTAGGATAGAGGAAGGGACGTGGATCAGCTGAGCCAAGCCCTAGAGGCCTCCTTCGCTTGGCTAGATGGGGCCTTGCCTTGAGCAGAATTCTGCAGGGCACAGTGGAGTCTTGGGTCCCTTTCAGGTTTCTTCCATTGAAGACTGTCAGTGAATTCAGTTCCCAGTGAAGGTTTTAATGGCTTACGAGTTTTTCGTCTGCCTTGCTCGCCGCTGTATCCCAGTGCCCAGAACAGCAGCACATCCCTGCAAATGAATGCACGACGATCCCATTCAGATGATCCGGCCTCTGCATCTTCACAGACACACAGAAGCAACTGGCCACAGAGCTTCCATGGTCATTCACCAACCACCTAACTGTGTGAAATCTTCTCTCCCCTGTTCTGCTTTTGACCCCACTTGTCACCTCAGCTTGTAGCACCACCACTGGGTCTCTGACAGTGTCCCTTTGGAGAGGTTTGATCTTTTCTCTCTTCCCAGTGTAAGGGAGGGTCATTTGCTACACAGCACTAAGCAAGAAGGTCAGCTTGTGCTGAGTACAGGACCTGTTCCTCTCATGCTCACTCTGCCAGACAACAATGTTAGATAGAGCTAGAAGTGCCTACAAAAGCAACTCCATATGGAAGAGACGAAAAAAACCAAAGCCTTGAGACATTAAGCAAGTTTCCCAAGGTCAAAGAGCTGGCTGCAGGGAGGGGCAGGAGACTTGGCTTCTAAACAGAGCCCTTTGTAGGACATTTGTAAGGCCTTCTCTGCCTGTGCAATTCAAAACATGTTAAAAAGTGCCCCTAAAGCTTGAATTTTCTTTCTGCATAGTATGAGCACAAAATATACCTACAGAATAAAACAGATACAAATTTGATGTATGTATGTATGTAGATATGTATATATCACATATATCTACATATTCATAAATGATATTAGGAAATATAAAAACTATAGCCATCCCTTGGTATCCACGGGGGTTAATTCCAGGACTCCCCACAGACAACAAATCCACAGATCCTCACATCCCTTATATAAAATGGCACACAACAATGCATACTGTCAGCCCTCTGCAATTGTGGATTCCCAACCATGGTTTGAAAATATGTACTGTTTTCAATTTGCAGTTGGGTGAACCCACGGATTCAAAACCCATGAATATGGGGGGGGGGGGTCGACTGTATAGTTATTGAAAAACCTGCGTATAAGTGGACCTTGCACAGTTCAAACCAGTGTTGCTCAAGGGTCAAATGTATTCTATAGTCCCAAATACATTTACTGAAGGGCTTAGATGAGCTCAACTCCCTTTATTTTATACCTATTATTACAGAATAGTGGTAATTGAAGGAGTGGGGGAAAATGAGAAATTCTGAGTGTGAGAAAGGGATAACATGTAGTTTGTAAAAGCATATTCAATATTATAATTGCTTTGATTTATTTAAGGCATAATATTTAATGTGCTTTGAAATTTAACAGTAAAGGAGCACATTTAGATTTTACGTTCATCAAAAGGGAGTATGGCTTAATAAAAAGACTGGGACATACTGTTCTGGAACTCACAGCATATCACAGCTTTGGAAATCATCTGGTCCGATGCCCCCTTTAAAGATAAAGAAACTTCCCCCCAGAGAGGTTAGGTAACTTCCCATCTGAGGTCAATAGCTATTGATTCATTCCTGAGGGGAGCAGCCAATGGGGATTTTATCTGTTGTGTGTTCATGACACCTGCACTGAAGGGGAGTCCAGGGTTTGCTGTTGATCAGCTGAAGGAAATTTATTGCACCAAGGATATAAAAATACACAGGGAAAGCGGATCCCAAACACACCTGAATTTATTTTAACAAGGAGGATTCTTGCAAAAGGAGTCTGAACCTGAGGCTTTATATGCAAAGCATTTCCTCAGGGGAGCACCCCAATGGCCCCCACAGAGACCTGCCCTTCACTCCAGTGCCTCCTTTGTGTGTATCTGGAGACTCCGTCTGGCCCTTTCTTTCAGGGGAACAAAGTGTCAGGCTGCAGGAGTGACTCCTGAAGCCTCCGCTTTTCCCTCCCCTTTGTCACCTGCAGAGGCCAGTGACAGGTTGGGCAGATGGTTTCTATCTAGTCCCATCTACCTAAACAAGTTGCAGGTTTTCTCTCTTTTGTTCTGACAGGACTGAGCATCTCAGCAGAAGGAAAACAGATCCTGAAATAGTGACCCTGCGAGCAGAGGCAGAGAGCCCCAGGAAGAATTTGCCCACAGCCCTGGGCTAAGACAGACACAGGGCCTGACCCCGTGTGGGGGCCCAAGGGGCAGCGACACTCCGAGCGCAGCAGGAGTCCACTTACCGCAGTGCGACTGGAAAACCTGGGGCTTGACGACCTGATTACAGGCACTGCACACTACGAGATAGAAGTCGTCATGTGCTGGATAATGGCCAAATAAGTGCATATCTGTGGGGGAAATGAAAACAGGTGTTTTTGAAAATGCAATTAAGTCTCAGAAGGTGTCTAGTTTCCTCTTGGAGTTTATTCAAGTCCAGTTTTTCAAATGAGTCACAAAGGAATGCAATAATCTTCACTAAAGGCAACGTGGTTAGTCAAAAGGCAGCTCCTCAACTCTCGGAGAAGCAATAGCCTCAGAGAGTACCTCCTCACTGCACCCGTGGAAACGAATGGCTGCTGCTGCTCGTGTAGTCGGCGGTGTCCGGGGTGTCTGCGCTGCCCTGAGTCATATGCTATGGGGAATTAGCCTGTCCTGAGAGAGCACCTGTGAGCTGGGACTCAATGAGGCACACGTTATTTTAGGAGGGCGCCTCCCCCAAACCCATTCTGACTTAAGCAGAGGTCTCTCAAGTGATTGAGGGGTAAGAGGTCTGAGGAGAGAAAGAGGAGTCATCCTGGCCTCAGCAGTTGTTCATGTTTCCCCATCACCTGAGGGAGACCACAAGGCAAAAGGAAGCCTCAAAACAAGAGACTTGTTTGCTACCATCATTATGCATTATTCCTCTAACATTTACCAAGTGTCTTTTTAAAATTTTTTTAATTTTTATTTTTTATCCTCACCCGAGGATATTTTTCCATTTTTTATACAGATAGAGTGGGAGGGAGAGAGAGGGGGAAACATCGACGTGAAGGGACACATCGAGTGGCTGCCACCCGCACGACCAACCAGGGCCGGGGACAAACTGCAACCGAAGTACGTGCCCTTAGCGGGAACCGAACCCGGGTCTCTCCGGACCGCAGGCCGATGCTCTAACCGCTGAGCCAAACTGGCCAGGGCACCAAGTGTCTTAAGTGTGCCAGGCACCATGCTAGGTGCTGGAGATGATTGATGAGCAAGCATGAGGGCCCTACATTAAACAGATAATCACACAAGTCATCATGAGTTGTATCTGTGGTGCATGCTAAGGGGATGTGCAGGCTCCCATGACAGTATGTGGACCTGACCTCATCGGAGGCGTGGACAAGACTTCCCGAGAAGGATCTAGTTCAGCTAAGACATCAAGGTGAGGAGAGGTTAGATAAGCAAAGGGCCAGGGGAGGAAGAGAAAAGTTCCAGCTCTGCCAAGGAAGGAGGTGCTGTGTCAGAGGAACCTTTTGGTTGGGACAGAAGAACAAGAGGAGAGCTCAGAAAATGTAAGCCTTGTAGACCAAGGTAAAAATTTTGAACCTGATTTTAAGAACAATGAAAATTTACTGAAGATTTTTAAACAAAGAAATGACAGGATGAGAAATATAATGGTAAGAGATCAGTTATGTGGCCTATGAGACATGAGCACATGTCCATAGCGGCACTATTCATAACAGTTAAAAAGTAGAAACAATCCAGATAGTCACCAGTTGGTGAATGGATAAACAAAATCTGCATAACCAGCCAATGGACTACTATTCAGCTGTGAAAAGGAACAAAGTACTGATACCTGCTACAATATAGTTGAACCTTGAAAACATTACGTTAAGTAAAAGGAGCCAGACATAAAAGGCTGCATATTGAATTATTCCATTTATATGAAATATCCAGAATAGGCAAAGTTATAGAGACAAACATTAGATTAGTGTTTGCCTTGAGCTGAGGGGCTTGGAGAGAATTGGGGAGTGACTGCTAAAGGGTGCAGGGCTCCTTTTCTTTTTTTAATTTATTGATTTTAGAGAGAGAAGAAAAGGTGGGGGGGGGACAGAGAGAGAGAGAAAGAAACATTGATTTGTTGTTCCATTTATTTATGCATTTATTGGCTGCTACTTGTATGTGCCCTGACCAGAGATTGAACCTGCAACCTTGGCGTATTGGGACAATGCTCCAACCAACTGAGCTACCTGGTCAGGGCTTGAGGTGATAAAATGTTCTAAGATTAATAGAGTGATGGTTGCACAACACTGTGAATGTACTATAAACCACTAATTTGTACACTTTATTTATTTTTTAATTTTTTTTTTGTTACTCCTCACCTGAGGATATTTTTCCATTGATTTTTAGATAGAGTGGAAGGGGGGAGGGGAGAAACATTGATGTGAGAGAGGCACACTGATTGGTTGCCTCCTGCACGACCCCAACCAGGGCCAAGGATTGAATCTGAAACCCAGGTATGTGCCCTTGATTGGGAATTGAATCCATGACCCTTTGGTCCACGAACGGATGCTCTAACCGCTAAGCCAAACCAGCCAGGGTTGAATTATACACTTTAAATGGGTGAATTGTATGGTATGTAAACAAAAGTAAAAAAAAAAAAAAAAGAGCCCTGACTGGTTTGGCTTAGCAGTTAGAACATTGGTCCACAGACCGACGAATCTCGGGTTTGATTCTAGTCAAGGGCATGAACCTCAGCACGTACCTCTTTCACATTGATGTTTTTCTCTATCTCTCTCTCTCCCCCTCCATCTCACCTACTCTATTGGAGAAAAAAAAATCAATGGAAAAATATCTTTAGGTGAGGATTAAAAAAACCCAAAACAATCAGTTTTGAGGAAACAGGTAGTCATATCTCCTTGTGCATCACCGGGTGGAAGCAGAGCCTTGGAGCACCTGGGCTTACCTCTTCTTAGCCCACTGGCTTTAGAGACACTTCAGCTCTCAGAGCAAGGTGCTCATAACCACGGACAGAGTTGACGGAGAAAATGAGACAGGGTATGCATGGAAATGCTTTCTGACTGACCCCCTGAACAACGTCCCAACTCCCTGAGTCCTCATTTTCTAGACCCAACCTGTGTCTTTAACAAAAATCACCACACACAAAATGGTTCCCCCACCTGCAGGGCTGGGCCACAGGGAAGGGCTGAGTTTGTCATGGTGTGGAGATGGCTCATGTGTAACCGAGCAGATGGTTTGATGGAGGCAGGCATGGCTCTGTGCTCTCTACTCGAACAGCTGCTTCTTAGAAGGAAGTGGAATGGACACACTTGTCACACGCAAGGAGTAAAGACCCCCACTGCTCTGGAAAAGGGGTGTTACTGGAAGGGCAAGACTGGCTCCCACGGCAAGGTCCTCCTTGACTCTCAGATGCATGAGGACACTGCTCACCCCACAGCGCGTGATGGCAGCAGGACTGGGGACTAGGGTGCACTGAATTTCTAATTTTTCCGGTAGTCCTGGGTGAAGCCTGTTATTTCCCCACTCTGGGACTCATCTCTCTTTCCACTTCTGACTAAGACTTGTTGCTGACTATCAGTCAGTGCCTGGTGGGCGGCAAGGCCTGTGGGAATGGGATGAGAGAAAACCCAGCTGTGACAAGAAGCCTAAAGTGTGAGGAGACCCATGCTAGGCCCACCCAGCCTGCCCAGGCCCTCGGTTCAGAGCCTCACAGCATGGAGAGGATGTCTCTTGCTTCTTAACTGCTGATGCCTCCTGTTTTATTTTTTATTTATGGGTTATTTTTACAATGTACATTTAAAAAAAAAATAACAAAAGTGGTCCATGTTCTCTGAAGATAATTTGGAAAATATAGAAAAGCCAAAAAAATAAAAATAAAAAAACTACTGGCAACACCTTGCATCTCATTTACATTTAGTCACATTTTATATCCAGGAACATGTGAAACCAGGAGCTGGCAAGGGCTAAGACACTTATTCAACAAACATTTACTGAGCTGCCTTACACCCTTTCTGCAATTGATCAAGCTCTAAAGGAATAAAAGAAATTCATTAACTAAAAAAGCACACACACACATTAACAAACATTTCTTGAGCACCTACTCTGTGCCATAAGCTGTGCCAGGGCTGGAAGCCAAGACCAGACACTGCAGGGTGTGGGGACTGTGTCTCTGCACCTTTGCTATACATGCCAGATGACCTTGTAGGCCTGTCAGGACTTCGCTTGATGTCCCACTGTTTCTGCATTCCTTCAGAAATCTGTAGAGCCTGTACTCTTGTGCCTACACACCTCTCATGTCAGGAGCTGAAGGTAAAGGTTAGGCTAGTCAGAGACTGGCCACCTGGGGTGTATTGCACTCCAGGCTCTTCACTCCACTGGGACTTCTCTTGATTTCCTCTAGGGCACTTTCAACTTTGCACATGTCTGTTCAGAGCATGTCTTCCATAGAAAGTGACAGAACCTGCTTGCCTACTTGATTAATTCCTCACTGGGCTGACCTTAGAATCTCCTCTACAGGCTGCTCAATTCTGAGAGCCTGGCACATGGGGAACAAGATAAGGGTCCTTGGCTACTCAGAAGACCACCCCACTTCAGGTGGCTAGGTGATCATGGTCAGTGGGCTGTTTGCCTGGGGACGAGGAGGAAGGACAGAAACAATTGAAAATTAGTACGCCCAGCACAATGCTAGGTATTCTATTAATTTTTCTCTCTCTCACTTTACCACCCTAAGACATTCAGTGCACAGTTAAAAATAAAAACAGTAGTTTGTTGAGATGAACTTGTACCAGGTTGGAAAAGCCAACTGTGCATGTCACTTCCCAACTTGTTCAATGATATCATGGTAGTAGCTTGAATCAGCCATCTGGGAGTATTTACACCACAGAAATGGACAAACACTATACATCAGGTCTTTCCTTTTAGAGTGCTGGTTGTTAAACATTTACCTGTGCACTACTGAATAAGGATGGGAAAAAGAGGAAAAGTGAAACCACCTGTAACAATACCACCTAGTAACCAGTGCTGACATTGTTGTTGACTTTATGTGAGAACATGTTAATCTTCATAATTAACCTATGACATTACCATCATCTCCACTTTCCAGGCAAGGAAACAAAAAGTAGAGTAATTTGCTTGAGATCCATGGCAGTGATTTGTCAAGTAGAATGAGATTCCAGGACATTGACTCTGAAGCCAATGCTCCCTCATGTTAGCAACTTAGTCTGGCAAACTCAGCCTGCTTCCGGACAGCACCCGAGGTTCCTGCAGACCTTCACTTCTCGCACACACCTCCAAACCCATCCTTGCTCCTCTCCTCTCCCAGAAGGCAGAGTAGGGAGGGAGGGGACAGAGCTCAGCTGTGATGGAA